AACCAACTTGAACATAAATATTGACCAAACAGTTGGTGGATATGAACTACTATGTCCTTCTAGAATAACATAATACGGAGCTATATTGTAGCATCATTAATAAGCCTACACCTGATATCACTAGAGCCAGTTATGTAGTGTTCCTCTCCAAAAACATATTTAAGTAGTCATATAGTAAAACTATTGATCTGAGATACAGTACATGTGCACAATGAATACACAGTAGTGATTCACTTACAAGTATTATTCAGAAACTTTGCTTACAAAACAAAAGGCGTGGGTAATTATTTATAGTAAACTAATCAGCCAGCCAACCAACAAGTATTCACTGAATACTTTCTGTATACTGTCATGTTGTTAGACTTTTTATGGCACTATAGAAGAGTGGTTAAGAGCATAAACTTTAGGGCCAAACAGCCCAAATCTGTACCCTTAGTTTCTATCACTTATTAGCTATAACCTTGGGAATGTTACTTAACTTCTCTTTGCCTTGGTTTCTTTATCTGTCAAATGGGAATAATACTGTCTACCTCACAGAGTATTGTGAAGGGTCAGTCTTTGTAAAGCATTTCAGATATTGCCTGGAATATAGTGCGATATAAGTGCTGGTCTTCATTATAATTATTATAACCTGATTCTCCAGTTTACAAAGGAACTCACTGTAGGGTTCAACTGAACACAAAAGTATTAGGTACTTATTATGTATGAGACACGGTGCTGGTCACTATGGGTGAGTCAGAAGGCTATGAGAATGTGGAAGGCATGGTTTCTGCCTTGCAGAATCTAGGAATTTCAGAGAAGAGGTGAGATCACTCAAATAACTAACCCATGAAGAAACACAAATGATGAAATGAGGCAAGTGACTATGATAATCTGGAAGGGGAAAGTAGTTTTTAAGGAGAGCTTCCCCAAATGGCAAGGAGTTCCGTGGGTGGGAATGTGTGGGAAGCATTCTCAGCCAACTAGCAGCCTGAACAAAGACTCAAAAACAGGGCCACATGGACATGTCCGTTGGATCTAGAGAAGCCTGGAGTGAATTAAGCATGGAAACTGCAATAAAGCATGTCTGGGAAGAGAATATGAACCCAGATGATCTTGCAGGCCCGTGACGCCCTGTTAGTTTATTCAATAGGCAACAGGCCGCTAGGCAGACCTACTTGGTTCCTTACTCAACAGTCATTTCTCCTTCTTCCTGGCCAACAAGACCCGGCCAAGAAGGTGATGAATCATGATTGGTTAATATGTATTATGACAATTGGACCCTGCTTTACCATCTATCGGACTTCCCACCTCGTTTGCAGCTGGGAATGGCCTTGTGATCCAGTTCTAACAGATTAGACATAAGGAGAAGTTGGCTGGGTGGCTTCCGAGAAAGTGTTTGCTTTCCCGACAAAAAGGACTGACACAGTTGGAGATTGTCTCTTCTCTTTCCTGTCTTAAGCATCTTCGGTTACAGCAATCTTCTTGAGACCCTGGGTGACAAGAGGATGAAAAGTCAACACAAAGCAGGAAGATAAAAGGAATATGGTATTGGGGGCGCCTGGGTGGCTCAGTGGGTTAAGCATCTGACTCTTGATTTTGGCTCAAGGTCATGATATCAGGGTTGTGAGATGGAGCCCCATGTCAGGTACCACACTCAGGAGGGAGTCTGCTTGGGATTCTCTCTTTCCCTCTCCCTCTGCACCACCCCTCAGCCCCCGCTTTTGTGCTCTCTCTCTCTCTCTCAAAAAAAAAAAAAAAGAATGTGGGTATTGGATGGGAGAGTTGAATCAATGGTGACAACCTTTTGTTTGGAATTCCTGTGACGTGAACAATAAATATTATGAAGTTGGCCACTGTTCACTAGGTATTCTGTTACATGCAGCCAAAAATATCCTGTCTGGTAGAGTCAGGGTTGTCTTTTAAAAATTCTTATTATGGAAAACTGGACAGCTACATGCAAAAGAATAAAACTGGTCCGCTGTCTAACACTGTACACAAAAATAAACTCAAACTGGATGAAAGACATAAACGTGAGACTTGAAACCATAAAAATCCTAGAAGAGAACACAGGCAGTCATTTCTCTGACATTGGCCATAGCAGCATCTTTCTAGATATCTCTCCTGAGGTATGGGAAACAAAAGCAAATATAAACAACTGGGACTACATCAAAATCAAAAAGCTTCTGCACAGGGGCCCCTAGGTGGCTCAGTCAGTAAGCGTCTGCCTTCGGCTCAGGTCATGATCCCAGGGTCCTGGAATTGAGCCCCACATCTGGCTCCCTGCTCCGCGGGAAACCTGTTTCTCCCTCTCCCACTCCCCCCCCCATCTCTTTCTCTGTCAGATAAATAAACAAAATCTTAAAAAATAAAAAAAAGCTTCTGTACAGCAAAAGAAACAATCAACACAATTAAAAGACAACCTACTGAAGGGAAAAGATATTTACCAATGACATATCTGATAAAGGGTTAGTGTCCAAAATATATAAAGAACTTAAACAACTCAACACTGTAAAAACCAAATAATCTAAGTAAAAAATAGGCAGAAGACATGAACAGACATTTCTCCAAAGAAGACATCCAGGTGGCCAACAGACACATGAAAAGATGCTCAATATCACTCATCATCAGGGAAATACAAATCAAAACTACCATGAGATACCACCTCACACCTGTCAGAATGGCTAAAATCAAAAACATAAGAAACAACAGATGTTGGTAAGAATGTGGAAAAAGGGAACCTTATGGACTTGGTGGGAATGCAAACTGGTGTAGCCACTGTGGAAAACAGTATGGAGTTTCCTCAAAAAGTTAATAGTAGAACTACCCTATGATCTAGTAATCGCACTACTGGGTATTTACCCAAAGAATACGAAAACACTGATTCAAAAGGATACATGCACCCCATGTTTATTTTGCAGCATTATTTACATTAGCTAAATTATGGAAGCAGCCCAAGTGTCCATCGACTGATGAATGGATAAAGAAGATGTGGTATATATTATTCAGTCATAAAAAAGAATGAAATCTTGCCATTTGCAACAACATGATGGAGCTAGAGAGTAAGCAAAATAAGTCAGAGAAAGACAAATACCATATGATTTCACTCATATGCAGAATTTAAGAAACAAAACGAATGAACAAAGGAGGAAGAGAGAGACACACACACAAACCAGGAAACAGACTCTTAACTATAGGAAACAAACTAATGGTTACCAGAGGGAAGGTGGGTGGGGGAATGGGGGAGGTAAGTGGTGGGGATCAAGAGTGTGCTTAGCATACAGTTATCGAGAGGACACTTATTTATGATGAGCACTGAGTAATAATGTATAGAGTTGCTGAATCATTGTATTGTACACTTATAACTAATATAATACTGCATGCTAACTATACTGGAATTAAAACTAAAAAATAACTGTAAAAAGATAAAGTTCAAATACACAATTATGGTTATAAAAAATTCTTATGGAAAATTTCAAAACATAAGTAAAAGAAAGACTAGCGTGAGTGCCTATGATGACCACTTTTCACAGAAAAAACACATTTCCATTATTTCCTTATTTTCTCTACATTTTCACCCCAGCATACTTGTCCTTGTTGCACATTTGTAGTTCCAAGTTCCCCTAAATGTCAGTTCACCGTGTTAGCACTATTGGAGTATGTGAAAGCTGGGTTTTGTTTTTGTTTTTATAAATGTAGTTTGTTTTAAATTCAGGTGAAATTCACATAACATAAAATTAAGCATTTTAACGTGCATGATTTAGTGGTATTTAGCACATTCACAATGTGGTACAGCCACCACTTCTAGTGAGGGTGAAGAAGCCGAACACAAAATTCCTAAGTAAGCGTTGGGAGCTCTCCAAGTCCCTGGGTTATTGCTTGGTCTTGCATTAGGCTCGAAGCCCTCCACGGGAGTTGATGGCTCTCCTCTCTTTCCCTAAGTTGGTTCTTGTCCTCTCATCAGGCATGTCCTCTAGGATATACAGGGAGGGAGATGAGAGGTAAGGGCCAGGAAAGACACAGCTATGACCCAACATAGGTGCTGTGATGGTTAACCTTATGTGTCAACTTGGCTGGGCCATGGTGCCCAGATATGTGGTCAAACATTATTCTGGATGTTTCTTTTTTTTTTAATGTTTTATTTATTTATTTATTCATGAGAGTCAGAGAGAGAGAGAGAGAGAGAGAGAGAGAGGCAGAGGCAGAGGGAGAAGCAGCCTCCCCACCTAGCAGGGAGCCCGATGCGGCACTCGATCCCAGGACCCTGGGATCCTGACCTGAGCCGAAGGCAGACGCTTAACCATCTGAGCCACCCAGGCGCCCCATTTCTGGATGTTTCTTTGAGGGTGTTTTTTGGACGAGATTAACGTTTAAATAGGTGGACTTTGGATAAAGCTGACTGCTCTTACAGCTGTGGCCGAGTAATGTTCCAGTGTGTGTGTGTGTGTGTGTAGTACATCTACTTTATTTGTCTCTCAGTGGACCCTTGGGCTGCTCCTATATCTTGGTTATTGGAAATAACACTACAATAAACATGGTACGCTTACATCTTTTTGAATTCGTATTTTCATTTTCTTTGGGCAGCCATGTAGCTGTTTTAAAGTTTGGATAGTTATGGATTTATTAAATCCCAGCTCTACCATTTTCAACACCTGAAGAAGTTACTTCACCTTCATGAAATCATGTTTTTATCTGTGTTGGAGATTGTCCTGAGGAAAAAATAAGATATGTCATACACAACACTTAGCGTAATGTTGGCATATGGTTGTATTAAGAGAAGCAAGTTGGATTTCCCTCTTGTGTTTATAAAGTTATCTTAGCAGGACTCCTGATAGAAGGGGGCATGTACTGGTATTTTCACTTAAATGGTGGTAAAACCATGGCAATATTTTTATAAAAAGATACTCTATTTTATATAGCCAGTGGCAGAGCTGAGAAACGAACGTGTACAGTAGGATTTCATTGGTCAACAGTTTCCTCTACTAGGGATGTCACGTCTAGTTGATAGAATAAACCAAGATAGCTTTGCGCAGTGGCAGTATTGTAGCCAATGAGGTTTATCCGAGGCACGATTATTGCTAACAGAATCAACCAAGATATGATGACATTCTTTTCTATTTTTGATTACACAGATCAAAATAAAAGTGGTAACTATGGTATAGAGAAGGTAGAAGAAGACCACACACGTGCACACATGCGCACACACACACACACACACACACACACAGAGTTACTGGAAAAATAGCAGGAAAAGGCCCTTCCCTCCTCTCCCTGGCCCCTTCTCCACCAAGAGCCCCATTTTTCACAAGAACATGGAGTATAATAAACTTTATTTTCTAACTTTTATTTTGAGACGACTATAGATACACAGGAAGTTGTAAAAATAATACATTCTAGGGCGCCTGGGTGGCTCAGTTGGTTAATCGACTGCCTTCGGCTCAGGTCATGGTCCTGGAGTCCCGGGATCGAGTCCCGCATCAGGCTCCCTGCTCGGCGGGGAGTCTGCTTCTCCCTCTGATCCTCCTCCCTCTCATGTGCGCTCTCTCTCTCAAATAAATAAATAAAATCTTAAAAAAAAAATAATAGTACAGTCTATCCATGTACTCTTCATTTAGTTTCCTCACTTGTAAGATCTCATATAACTATAGCACAATATCAAAATCAAGGACGTTGTCATTGGTACTCCACAAATTTCACCAGTCTTACGTGCATATGTGTGTGTGCTCAATTGTCTGCAGTTTATCACACATGTAGATTCGTGTAGCCACCACCACAGCCAGGATGCAGAAGTGTTCTATCACCACAAAGATGTGCCTCAAACTCTTACCCTTGTGTAATTATACCCGGTCCCTCCCTCCTCCAGTCCCTCCTCACATCCCTAAACCCTGGCAGACACTAATCTATTCTTTATTTCTGTAAGTTTATTATTATTTTTTAAAGATTTTATTTATTTATTTGTCAGAGAGAGGGAGAGAGAGAGACCACAAGCGGGGGGGGGGGACGGAAGGAAGAGGGAGAAGCAGGCTTCCCGCTGAGTAAGGAGCCCGATGTGGGGCTCGATCCCAGGACCCCGGGATCATGACCTGAGCTGAAGGCAGACTCTTAACGACTGAGCCACCCAGGCGCCCCTCTGTAAGTTTATTATTTCAAGAACATCATATAAATGGGATCATACAGTATGCAACCTTTTGGGACTGGCTTTTTCACTCAGCATAATGTCCTTGAGATCCATTCAAGATGTTGGATGTATCAGTACTTTGTTCCTTTTTATTGCCAAAGTAGTATTCCAAGAGGGTGAATGTACCATAGCTTGTTTCATCATTTAACCTTGGAAGAACATTTGGATTATCTCCCATTTTTTTGGTCTTCTTTACAAGTAAAGCTGCTATGAATATTCATGCATAGGTTTTGTGTTTTTATTTCTCTGGGATAAATGTGTAAGAGTGGGATTCCTGGGTTGTATGGTAAATGTATGTTTTGTTTGTTTGTTTTAAAGACATTTCCACATTATTTTCCAAAGTGGTTGTATCATTTTACATTTCCACCCTCAATTCTGAGAGATCCAGTTTTTTTGCATCTTTGCTAGCATTTGGTATTGTCAGCTTTTAAAAAAAATTATTGTAGTGCTTCTGATAGGTGTGTGGTGATATTTTGTGGTTTTAATTTGCATTTCCCTGATAGCTGAAGATACTGAACATCTTTTCATGTCTTTATCTGCAATCCATATATGCTCTTTGTGAATGTCTGTTCGTGTCTTTTGTCCATTTTCTAATAGGATTGTTTGTTTACAGTTGAGTTTGGAGAGTTCTTTATATAGTCTAGGTATGAGATAAGTCAGACAAGTGGTTTGTTAGATAAGTGATTTGCAAATATTTTCTTCCAGTCTGTAGCTTGTCTTTTTATCCTTTTAGTGAGGTATTTTTATAAGCAAAAGTTTTGAGTTTGGTGAAGTATAATTTAATGATTTTTTGCTTGTATGGATTGTGCTTTGGGGATCACGTCTAAGAACTCTTCAGTAAGTCCAGTGGAGGTCCTAATGGAGAGAGGAAGAGTCTAGGTTTCCCTAGGTGACTGACGATGGTAGGCATGTGATGCTGAAAGTCAGCAGACCTGGCAGGGCCTTGTGAATAGAAGGAGGGGAAGGAGGGGACTTGCGTGGATGGAGATAAACCTTATAACCAGAGGCTATATGGGCACTTGAGTCACTGAGTGGAGTCCAGCGCAGAGGTAGACATATGGTCCTAAACCAGATGGGATGATGCATGCCAACATGGATAGGTTGGATTAGTCAGCAGCAGGCTGCTATAACAAAATACTACAGACTGGGTGGCTGAAACAACATTATTTCTTATAGTTCTAAAGGCTGGAAGTCTAAGATCAAGGTGCTAGCCAATTCAGTTCCTGGTGAGAATTTTCTTCTTAGCTTGTTAATGGTGGCTTTCTCACTGTGTCCTTACATAGCTCTTCTTATAAGGATGCGAATCCCATCATGGGAACCCCACCCTCATGACCTCATCTAATCCTAATTACCTCCCGAAGGCTCCACCTCCAAATACCATCACACTGGGGATTAAGGCTTCAACATAATTAATTTGGAGGGGGATACGAATATTCAGTCCATAACACAGGTGGTGACCAAGGACCAGAGGCTCCTCCTTTATACCTCCACTCCATTCCCGGATGACTTCATGGAATTTAGAAGCAATCCAATGGATAGGTAAGAAGGCAAAGAACCCTAAATTGACTAGGAAACAATAGTAATTTAATTTAATTATTAAATTATTTAAATAATTTAATTAAAAAACCCCCCATATTGATGGCTTATCGTGAACTGGCAAGAGAATGGGAACTCACTATGGGAAAACCTTGAGATGTAGGGAAGAAAGGATTACATATTTTTGTTCAGCAAGTCCGCACCTGTGAGATCCAAACCTGGTGCATCTGTTACATAGACAGGAGGCTTTCTCGCTTGCCAGCAGGCAACAAGCCCATGAGCACCGCTGAAAGAACTTGATGACAGCTCTGTTGTTAGGTCTGATTCATGGAGTACAACGTCTCTCTCAGCATCAACCACAAAACCAATACTGTTTTGTTTTAGCCAAGAGCCTTCCAAAGACACACCTGTGGCTTTCAGTGAAAGTTCTCTGGACATCTCCCAACATCTGTCTGGAAAGGATCCGGCACGTCTTCAGGGAGAAAACCCACCCTGTAGATCAACTGCAGTTTCGCTGGCTTCTCTGTCTTCACGCCCTGGAGTCAGAGACAGTAGCAGGTTGGGGCATTAATATCGGGCACCGAGGCAGGTTGAACTGAATGTCCATCTCCGTGATGGCATCAGTGGATCCTCTGTGCTATTCCAAGTCTTCTGTGGTCCCACGTTAAAGCCCAGAAAATTGGGATACCCCTTGTTTCTCTAGGCATCCTTCCAAAAGAAAAAAAATGATTCTTAACTCTGCACTGAGATCGTTCACTGTTTAACAAGCATTTCTACAGGGACAGAGCGTTGTTCAGTGACAAATATTTCTCTAGAATTGTTTGCTGGCTTTGAATCACACATTAATGCAGATATAGAAGATAAACACAGCCACCTACAGCTAATACCAAACAGTGAAGAACTGGCAAGAGGAAATAAGGCAGAATTAGTGCTAATTGGGCCTTCTGAGGACCTAGGGAATATTAAAATTATATTACTACATATAGACCTTAAAAATTTTTGAAGGGAGGGAGATGCTTCTTATGTGTGTGTTTGGAGACAGATTGTAGCAGTTTCTGAAAGCAGATTTTTTGAGGGGAGATCCGTGAAGGAGCAAGGGTGTCTCGGATAGAAAAATAGAGGTAAGAGTGGGGAATTGTTTGATTAGAACTTGCTTCCCTCACCGTGTAGAATTCAAGTCTATCAGGAATTTGATAGTCTGAGAGAAGTTTGAGCATCCCATAGAGTATTATATTGAGGGTCTAAAATTCACTTGTTTTCCCCTAGTTCTTGTAATAGCTCTTACAAAGATAGATAATTATGGACTAGAATGTTTTTGGCAATTGAGGAGTCAGTATTATGTTTTTCTTTAAAAATATTTACCTCCAGAGAGGTCAGTACTCTGTGGTCTTGTGTCCAGTCACTGGCCACGCAGACTGGTGTTAAACAAATTTTCAGTGAAATGCACAATATGGAAGGCATACCATTCTGAGTTTTCCTTATTTATTCATTAAATATTTCTCAAGTTTGGAGGACATACTGGATGCTGACAAAGCATATAAAGATGACTAAAACACGCAGCCTTCCTTCATTGGGTCTTGGTTTAGTGAGAAAGACATGTAAACACAGAGATGAGGGCTCCATCAGAGGGTTGAATAACACTTACCTACTTGACCAGGACGGTGGAGGAAGTGACATTTGCAGGATTGGGTGGGGAGCCAATGGGAGGCATTCCAGAAAGGAGAGGAATCCATGAAGAGCAAGGGTCAAGAGAGAGCAAGAGGCTGTTTGGGAAACCATATTAAAATAAAATAGGATGTGTTACACTTTGTGATTAGTTGATAACTTCAGCAAATCATTATCAGAAGAAATTAGAAAACTGCATTCTCTATTTCTACTTCTGCAAATCTTCTCCCTGGATAAAAATCAGTGGTTGGTAAAATAGGTAAAAAGTGGGTGTAACTAGACTCCCAAGATATCCCGGGCTCCTGAGAAATATGGAGCCAAAGTCCATTTCCTCCTTAGGCCTTTCGATTGAAGGGGCGGGGGGGGAAAGCCAAGGTTGTAAGAAACTGTAGCAATTATGTAAAGTTGGTCAGGGGTCCCAGAGACCCACAAGGCCATATAAGTAGATAAAAATATGAGATGACGATTAACATAACAATAAAAAAATTTAAAAAATATATGAGACGAGGGAAGGAAGAAATAGCTGGCCCAGATTAGAACAATGGCCTCATAGACATTCAAAAAGGAGAATGGGGTATAGGAGGGACTGAAGGGGGAGCCCAGAGGACTTGGGGAGGGCCTGAATCTCAGAACAGCTAGACAGAGGAACCTGGGGCTTCAGCGTACAAATTCAAGGGAGAGAAAAAGAAAACAAACGGACAACAACCCACCTTTTCCTCTTCAGTCTCTGCCTTGGCTAGCTTAGCCATCGGTTGGCAGTCTCAAGTGGAAGAGCAGGATAAA